CAATTTCAAGGAAATTAACTAGGAAATCTCAGATAAAGGTTTTTAAACAAACCCACCTTGAGCTAAAGTAAAGGCTAGAAGTCTGGAGGCATCCTCTCTTCAGTTCATTAGCGACTACAGAACTTCACCTGTAGCGTTATTTAACGGAGGTACCCCGACTGTTCACTGTGAGTGTGAACACACTCACCTTGCACGTGGCAGCCTGTTTCCCCTTCATTTGACACCAACTTACTCAGCATGATTATCCCCATTTGATCAAAATGGAAATAATAAACTGCTAAAAATCATAGGGCAAATGCTAATGTTACCTCACAAAGGTCTCCCAAGGCTTAACTTCACTTACTGTAAGTGAAAGATTGTGCCCAAACAGGAACTATAAAGCAGTGCAATGTTCTAAAAAAATCTACTTCCTGCACTGTCGAGGTCTAGAGTTTAAAAGTCCAAATGTAAAATCTCTTCAGCTGACAGGAAACTAAAGCTCTCAACAGTTTGGGAATAATACCAGCCAAGGGGGAGGGGCTCCATCACTCCGGAGCCTTCTCAGAACAATAACACCAGCCTCCTGGGCCGCCATCACTCCAGGAGTCTTCCCAGAGCTGCTGATGTTCACAGCTGGAAGCCCAGAGGCAGCGAGGCTGCTCTCCCAGGGGAAAACTGCACGCGGTTCTGATTCCCCTGCAAGTTTTCTACAGCAAGAAACGTGTTCTGCACATTATCTTGGGTGTCAAAAGGGCACTTCCATGGCAAAGACTAGTGAGTACATGCTATAGTTTAATCTCTGAACACGGATGAAAAGCATCCAGCGCCAACATGACACTCTGAAGAACCCAGTCTTCACCCATCGCTCCCATCCTAGAAGCTGTGATGAGCTGTGCAGTGAGAAGCAGCCAGAAGCACAGGAGGTTCTACCATTGCGGGTGTTGGCTCTTCAGAAGAATATCTTGTGTAGCATGGACTGGTCACAAGTCCAATTTCTTCAGCTGCTCATATGTCAAAAAGAACTATGGTTATGGGTTAAGGCTGCCAAGAAAATGTCATGTTACCAAGCCTGACACACGGAGCAGACAGACAACTTAGCTTCTCTACTAGCCCATGCCTGCAGGCAGCTTCAAAGGACACCATTCCCCTTGAGTTCCATGCAGAGTCTCAGGCTATGTCCCCAGATGTTGCCCCAGGTGAGCTCAGAATAGAGGGATCAGAGCTGAGCCCCACAAACCCCTCAGTCTTGGGCTCTTCAGGAATGCTATGCATTGTCTTCAGCAAAGACCTCACTGGGCAGAGTATAACAGAGGCCCAGGAAGCTCTTCTCCAGCATGTCCCCATCACAAAAGAAAGGGGGTGCCAAACCCGGCACCCCTACCTCTAACTTCTTTCCACATCTGCTGACCTGCCCCTCCTCACCTCACATGTCAATCACTTCAAGAGCTAAGTTCTGCCCATGTTCAGTAAGCGACCCACAGCAAGCGTGCCTACACACTGATGGCATCCACATCCTTCCCCAGGAGAGCAGGACATACATCAATCACATCACTCTGGAATCACGAACACCCAGAACTCCTCAGCAGATTCTAATGAAAATCGATACCATTCAATAGCAACACAATTAACTAAGTCTTGGTGTGTCGAATGAAGAGACCTCACATTTCCTAAAGTAGAAATGGAAAGGCTATTTCTTAGAATCAGAGGAACTCAAAAAGATAAGAACGTACTTCTTCATTTTAATTTATAAGCAAAACCAAACAATATTCTTTAGTAATAACCCTTTTTAGATCAACCACAGCAGAAAAGGATACAATGATATTCCAAGGACCAAGGCGCAACCAATTTGGCCAAAAACCTTTATATAGAGCAAAAAAACCTTCATTCTTCCATGTCTATTAAAAAGAAAACAAAAAAAGCATTAGCTTCCCATTTTCCAATTAAGTCCAACGCACTGATAATGTGCCAAATTGATATATACCTTTTAGTCAAAATTAAATCCCAAAGTTGAGGATGCCACCCCGACCTAAATGGTGCAAGAGAACCGAATCCCACAACTTGTCTCTGACTGAGCCGGAGGAAACCCAAGCTTAGCAAAGTGGTCTTTCCAACTTGCAGGTGTGGTAAAGAGTGTCCCCACCCTGCTGCTCAGACCACTACCCCACCCTGCCCACAAGAGCCCGTTGTACTTAAGGTTGGCAGTGCCGATGTATAGCCAGCCCGTGTGTTATGCTGGGAATGTGCAACCCGTGGGAGCTGCAGTTCCTGGTGGAACTGCCTACTGGCTGCTGGAGGTAGGGGATTCAAAAGATGGGGAAATGCAGCCATTGGTCTTTGGAATTCCCTGAGACCTATTCCGATCTAGATGCAAAGGATATAGAGAAAGCAAGTGTTTGAGTGGACTCAACAGGCTTGGGGTGATGCCATTTCCAGACTACAATTTTTTGTTTGTTTGTTTTTTGAGACAGGGTTTCTTTGTGTAGCCTTGTTGTCCTGGAACTCACTCTGTAGACCAGGCTGGCCTTGAACTCAGAGAGATCCACCTGCCTCTGCCTCTCGAGTGCTGGGATTAAAGGTGTGCGCCACCATCGGCCGCTATAATATTCTTCCAATGAAAACCATTGGGCTGTGCACAAGGCTGGGCTCTTCTTGGTCACTAACTCTGCTCAAATGCATAATATTACAGAGAACGGCTGAATATTTTCAGCTTTAATCAAAGAATAGGAATAAATGAAATGCATTTTATATGTTTACTCAAAGTAAACATCTGTTTAAAAGGACTGATTAGAGAGAGATCTTTGCTCGGCCTCTTTGATCCTTAAAGGCTTCTGCATGTAAACCACCGCAGACAGGAGGATGAACCCCACAGAAAGCAGGTAAACAAGAACTCAGTGAGTAAGAAATCAGACTGATTTCTAAGTCGGGGCCGGCCGTTAGCTCCCATGCCATCTGGACTCCTAGACCAGCCAGCAGTAAACAAACACTTGTGATAAAGATACCTTCCAGAGCGCTTCCCTTCCCGAGTTTCCTCTCTGCTTCACTAAAAGCAATAGAAGAGGAGTGGGGCGGAGCTCGGGTGCTGGAGTCCTTGCCCAGCAAATACACAGCTGACTCACTTCCAAGCACACATAAGACCCACTAGGGTGGCTCAGGCTTGTAACCTCAGCCCCTGGGAGGCCGAGGCAGGAGGGTCAGAAGTTCATGGTCACACCCAGCTACCTATCAAGTTTGGGACCAGTTAGATGATCTACCATCCTGCTTCAAAAAAAGAAGCAGCAGCTGGTGGGATGGCTCAGCAGGTAAGGCCGCCTGCTGCCAAACATGATGACCTGAGATCATGGCCATGATCATCAGAATCCATAGGCTGGAAGGAGAAAACAGATTCTGACCTGCGCGCTCATGCCACGGTACAGTATGTATGCACGGCCAGTGCCATCACCCCTCACGCCCCGGCCCACACAAAATAAACAAACGTAACTTTAAACATAAAGCAGGGGGCTGGAGAGATGGCTCAGCGGTTAAGAGCACTAGCAGGGCAGCTCTTCCAGAGGACCCGGGTTCAATTCCCAGGAACCACGTGGTGGCTCACAGCCATCTACAATGAGATCTGATGGCCTCTTCTGGCATGCAGGTGTACATGCAGATAGAGCACCATGTGTATATAATAAATAAATCCTAAAAAAGCTATTTTAAAAAATGTAAAGCAATCCTTGAAGACTAAGAAGCATTAGCACCATGCTGAGACCTGGAGCAAGTGCCCTTATGCTTTGGCCACCGGTGACAGACCTAGTAGGGAAGCTGAACAGTGCTAAAACCAGTTCTCTAAGCTGGGAACTGTGGTGGGATTGATGTCCTCCTGCAAGGCACATCTAGACGGGGATACTTATTCTAATTTGACTCAAGAAGGAAAAGACTCACTTTGGAAACAGACAGTTTTGTGACCACAGAAAATATTACTCTTTTAGCAACCTTCCTAGCAGGGGAGAAGTATGTGGAAAATGAACTTTAATTTGTAAAATTTCACCTAGATCTTGGACCTTCAACTCCTCAGGGTGGCAAAAATGGTATGTCATGCCATTTTATCTCTGCAAAGGCAGGTGGAGCTCTGTCTACACAGCGAATTCCATGCCAGCCAGAGCTGCATAACTAAGACTGTCTTAAAATTTTTTAATAATAATAATAATAAATGTTATATGTATCCCCAAGGGCTCTATGGTCTCACTCCTCTTAGTTTTAATACTTGTTACAGCTTAGTTACTTCAGTGTGTGAGTGTGTGTGTGTGTGTGTGTGTGTATGTGTGACTCACAATCCTGCACAGACATGTATTCTCACCTGCAATAGGCAATCCAAGGTACCCTTGTAGCCAGAGCACCTGCCGTCTGGAAGGACTCTCTGATTCATCATACGGGTTCTTACAACATCGACAGGGTTTGAGGCCAAAGCCCCCACCAGACCACAGGTGAAGCTTGAGCTATAGAGAAAACAGTATTGGAAAAGACGAGAACTCCCCCTTAGCTACAACTATGAAGGTAGGGGACAAGACAGCTCCCTCCCAAAATTACCTGAAGGTAAACATGGAGTTCCCCGAGCTGCACCAAGAATGAGGCCCATGGGGCTGGAGCTGGCTCAGCAGTTAAGAGCACTTGTTCTAACAGAGGACCTGAGTTCAAATTCTGGCACCCACATGGTGGCTCAGAGCCATCCAGAACTCCAGTTCCAGGGGATCTGATGCCCTGATCTCTGCAGGCACCAGGCATATACACAGTGAACACACACACACACACACACACACACACGTAAAACACTCATACATGTAAAAAATAAATAAAGCACAAGATGGCCTCACAGGGTATTCCCCCATGGGGTCTTGGCTTCTAGTAGACTGTCAATAGACTACTATAGACCTCACTGAGATTCATGCTAAACTGAGTTGTACGTAGTCTAAAGCTGCCTGTGTGCATAAGTAACTGTAACCTAACTTATTTAACTTGCATAAAATGGAACAGTTAGACTTCCACGTCCTTGCTGAAAACTCCTAAGCTGAACTTCATGGAGCTCCTCTTTAGGTCATTTCCATTTCTCTGGCCATAAACACTCCTGCACACACTGCAGATGCAGCTCTCTAAACCACTATTCAGTGAGTGCTACTCTGTTCCTGAACATTTCTTTTTCTTCTTGGCTTTTTGAGACAGGGTTTCTCTGTGTAATAGCCTTGGCTGTCCTGGAACTCACTCTGTAGACCAGGCTGACCTTGAACTCACAGAGATCCACCTGCCACTGCCTCCCAAGTGCTGGGATTAAAGACATGTGCCACTATGCCTGGCTTCTGAACATTTCTTCTTTTTGAATTAAACTCCACTGAATTTAACTTCACGGCAGTGTTTATCTTATCAGTATCAATCAGCTCAGAGGTTTCCCCACCTCAGCATCCCTCACGGGTTGAATTAATCGTTCTTTGTTGTGGAGGTTGTTTTGTTCACACTAAGGTTTATTCATATTTGCAGCACACAAGCTCTGACCACTAGTTATATAGTACTCCCCCTAGTGGTGAAAATCAGCACACTTGCCACACTTGCCCCAATGTCCCAGGCCAGACCAAGTCATTCAGCCCACCAATGGGTTAAATGATCTGTGATGCATTCATATAAACGTGATAACCCCTGGTTATTAAAAACAAGTGAAGGGCAGAGGGATGGCTCAGCAGTTAAGAGGATATATTGTCCTCATAGAATCCAAGTTAGATTCCCAGCACTCATATCAGATGCTCACAACTGCCTGTAACTCCAGCTCTGGGGCTCTGACATCCTCTGACCTCTGTATTTGTACCATGGGCACACACACAAATACATACATAAATAACCAAAAAGAACTAAGTTGTAAGGAAGACATGGAAATGTATCTGGGATATGGTGTCGCTTATTTTCTTTTTCTCTGGGTAACCTGCCTCTGCCTCCCGGGTGCCAGGATTAAAGGTGTGCTCTACCACCATGCTATGGAAAACCAGCCCAGCCATGCTGTCACTTCTTTAAGAGCAATACAATGCAAACATTACCTTGTTTATAAACGACATGTGGTGTCTGTTTGTAAACATACTGTTTACCTGCATACAGGTACATATCTGTTAACAACAGCTACCTATGTAAAGGTATAGACTTTGATCTTGTCCTGTTTGACTTCTGTATTATAATCTTTCAAATAAGAAAGTATAATACTATTATAATGCTTTCTCTAAAACTTCCATAAATTTACACAAAATTTCACCCTAACTTAATGCATGCCTAAAACATTAAATTTTATTTGTTTGTTTTTCAAGACAGGATTTCTCTTTGTAGCCCTGGCTGTCCTGGAACTCGCTTTGTAAACCAGGCTGGCCTCAAACTCACAAGAGATCCTCCTGCCTCTGCTTCTCTAGTGCTGAGATTAAAGGCATGCACCACCACCGTCCAGCTACAATATTAATTTTTAAAATCCATAAACATACAGAAAATGTGTAAAGACAGTGTCTCCCATCAGGCCCGAGAGTATCAGGTGCTTCTTGGTGATGTCATAGACTGGCAGCTCCACACCGACAACAATGGCAGCCCGCTGAGCCGTGAGAGACACACCCTGGGTAAAAACAGGAACAGGAAAATGATTTTCACATCCCTCCAGAGAACGCCAGGGTCCAGAAGCTCTCCCCGACCCATGACGAGCTCTGTCAGAAGTGTGGAGTACCCGAGTAAGAAAGGTACCGGAGTGAAAAAGGGCCACCACGCACAAACGCGAAAGCTCTGATGTCAGTTCTGACTGTGGCCAGACCGTGGCTAGGACAAACCATCCTCCAAGGCGCCAGTTTCTGTCACGCTGAGGGATGACACCAGGTGATAAGTTAGGGTCTATTCTGTGACCCAATGAGTCAGGAGTCATCTACATCAGCTCTTGCCTGACCACAGACCTCACCTAAGCCAGGAAACTGTGTAAGTCAATCCCCCAGTGGCACGGGGACCCAGGGTCATTCTGAGAACCGAAACAACAAAAAGCAACCATCAGATAAATAAAAAGTGATCAGCTTTCCCAAAATCCCTTAATCTAAAAGGCACCTGAAACCCACAGCACATTCCCCATGTTCTCATTTGAAAGATAAGTTAAGGAGGAAGGTGTCCTCAAAGGCAGAAAATGGCATTCTTCTGACGCCGTGACCACACTTAGATTAAGAGGCAGGGAGAAGAAGCGGGGTAGGGAAGAGCCAGTGTGTGTGGATTCCGCTCCGCAGGCTCACCTTCCACAGTCCTCTGGTCCCTTCCTGCTGGTATATGTTAATGAAGTTGCCTATCATTCCGCCTTGAATAGCGCTGTTCTGTGCTTGCATTCGGATCTACAGATCATCAGAAAGAACAGCGTGAGAAGGAAACTGGCCCACTCTCCACCCCCTCACCACCAAAGACGCACGAAAACCACCCACCAAGTGCTTAATGGTGCGTGGAGAAAACCAGCATAAAATGACTGGGATGCTACCTCCAAATACCCTCGGTAGACCAAAAGCATCGGGCGGCCCTTAGCAACTCCAGAGTTTAAAGGGCTAAGCAGCATCACAGAGTCCTTTTGTTTGTTTGTTTGTTTGTTTGTTTGTTTATTAAGTCTTGAGGTTTTCTTTTTTTGTTCTTATGGGAAGGTCAGGTATAGCCTATTTCTCTCTATGATTTAATAAGAATGAAAAAGAAAGAGGATTATTTTTTTTTTTTTTCCGAGACAGTGTTACTCTGTGTAGTCCTGGCTGTCCTGGGGCTGACTTCAAACTCAGAGATCCACTGGTGGGATTAAAGGCATGTGCCACCATACCCAGCTAGAGAAAGTGATGCTAATATTAAAGGCTCACTGTAGCCAGTGAGAGTTACCCAGTGTGCTCAGCTGCAGTAAATGCCGGCAAGCCTAGCTCTTAAATTGCTCCAAGCCACAATTATTTCCAGCTTGTCAAAGGTATGCAAATAGGCTTTCCACAGGATGCTGTTACACTTTCTTACCCTTGAACTTTCACAGTTCACAAAGCCCAGGAGAGCCACATGAAGGAGACTCCAGAGTTAAGTGGAATGTTCAATGTAACCCTTTGTCTTAGAGTGAAGAGGTGGGTTGGGGAGGTGGCTCAGAGGTTAAGAGCACTGACTGCTCTTCCAGAGGACCCAGGTTCAATGCCCGGCACTCACTTGATAATTCAACTGTCTGTAACTGCAGTCCCAGGGATGGGCACCAAGCATGCAATTGGTGTACACACATACGTGCAAACAAAACACCCCCACACATTAAACAAATCAGAAGGGGAACCAGAATGAAGGACTTTTCATTAAAAAAAAAAAAATCAGTATCTTACATTTGTTGAGGGAGCAAATATATTGCCACTAACTTCAAAAGGAACTGTTACCGCCTTACTAACTTAGGAAACTAACCAAAATACAGACACCACCTTCTCTATTTAAGACATTAATAGGAGAGCTGGGTGGTAGTGGTACATGCCTCTAATCCCAGCACTCAGGAGGCAGAGGCGGGTGGAACTCTGTGAGGTTGAGGCCAGCCTGGTCTACTACAGAAAGGACAGCCAGGGCTACATAGAGAAACCCTGTCTCAAAAATAAGAAAGAAAGAAATTAAGAGGAGTATGGATAGACATGCCATATCTTGCCTTTAGAGCATGTATTAAGTATTGTGCACCCAACATGTTACAGTTTTGATGTCTGTCAGAATCTATCAGAGTGAAGGCTTTCAGAGGGCAGGGTCCTCCCCGTACTCACTCGGGATGCTAGCACACAGTCCAAGGCACAGGATCTTGTTAAATAATGGGAATGGAAAGGGGAGCTTCAGAAGGCATTCATATGGGATTTTTTTTAAATTACTCATCCTTCCTTTGTCTTAATCCAAAATGGATTAGTGTCTATCCATTGTGTCCAAAACAGTTCATTGAGGTGTTGCTTCTAATTGTTAAAAGTGACATATTTTCATTTGTATTTCCTGACACAAAGGTAGTAGGAGAGAAAACATGTTCAGAAATGTTAATGGGGGGCTGGGGAGGCAGCTCAGTGGTTAACAGCCCTTGTTGCTTTTGCAGAGGACCTGGGTTCAGTCCCCAACACCTAGATGATGGCTCACAGCCATCTGAGACTCTAGTTCTAGAGGATCGGACGCCCTCTCCTGGCCTCTGCAGCCACTGCACACACATGGCGCACAGTCATACACGAGGGAACGCACCCATACAAGTAAAACAATAAATGAAAAAATCTTTAAAAAAAAATTAACAAGCCTAGATTTATCTAGTTTTCTGTAGCCCCTGCATTTTTAATGAACCAACAAAATAAAGGATATTTTCTATGAAAAACAAAATCAAACATAACCAAAAGGTTTTTCACTGCTTAATCACTAAAATTTTTATCTTCAAAATGAACTCTATGCAATATCAAGCTCACCTTTATCAGTGGGAAATCCACTTAGTGGCTATTTACAAGTCTGAAATTCAAGATGCAGTGTGGTGGTTTGAAGAAAGAAAATGGTCCCATAGGCTCACGAGGAGCAGCACTATTAGGAAGTGTGGCTTTGCTGGAGTCGGTGTGTTACTGGGGCAGGCTTTGAGTTCTCAGAAGCTCAAGCCAGGCCTAGTGTCTCAGTTCCTTCCTGCTGCCTACGGATCCAGATGTAGGACTCTCAGCTCCCTCTCCAGCACCATGTCTGCCTGCACACTGCCACCATGCTTCCTGTCATGATGAATGAACTAAACCTCTGACCCTGTAAGCCAGCCCCAATTAAATGTTTTCCTTTATAAGAGTTGCCATGGTCATGGCAACTCTTCACAGCAATAGAAACCCTAACTAAGATAAATAGCTTGTTACATTTGCAAAGTCTCATTATCTGAATGCTGTCTCCAGTTTAATGATGATGATGATGATGATGATGATGATGATGATGATGAAAAATGGGAATGTGTCTCTATGATGCAGCCAGCACTTACTTTCAAAACATCGGTTGGATTAGCAATAGCTGAGGATATGACTCCAGACAGAATTCCACACACAACATTGATCAACAGGGTTTCATCTACAAACAAAGACATAGTGGTTGGCTCTGTACAGAGTTTTTCCTGTAAATGACTCCATTATAAATAATGTAATCATATACTCTACCTGTTCACCTGAAGATAAATGTATGATCTGTGAATTAAGCAATTAATTCTAAAACAAATATCTACTACTATCTTTGTTTTTCCAAATGGACATGTAGTCCAACTACCTTGTGAATATTCATGTTTATCCCACAGACTCATGCTGCTATCAGAGCCCTTAATAGTAAGACATGTATTCACTTAGTGCCTTCCCAAAAACGGGTGATACTTCACTCAATTTTTAGAAAACTTTCAGTTGACAAGCAGAACCTGTACAGCATGTAGCTAAGCATTTTGAACATACAGACAAGTGACTGTTCCCACCCCTAGCTGAGGAGCTACTGACAACTGATGACTTCGGCTGCTGTGCTTTAAGAGAACATACAGGCCTGAGAGATGGCTCAGAGGTTAAGAGCACTGGTTTCTCTTCCAGAGGTCCCAAGTTCAAATCCCAGCAACCACATGGTGGCTCACAACCATCTATAATGAGATCCGGTGCCCTCTTCTGGCATGCAGTCATA